TATCTATTAACCAATTCTGAGATAGTAAATAGGCTGGTGACATACCGATAGGGTCAGTAACAACAGTCTTACTGAACAGTTAGAGCAACCATAATAATAATAAATAAGGACACTAAAAGTATTGACGCAAATAACAAATGGTAACGAACCAGTAATGAAATCCGTTGAAATATTCATCGCATAATAACCGTCAGCCGTAGTACAGATGGACGAGTGACCATAACAGAAGCACGGTGTGCAACCGAAACGGTTATCAGTTGACAAATCGAAATAGCCTGGTTTGCATTTGTTGCACTGACGTCCTTCAACGTTCAGTTTACACGCACAGTCACCACTTTTCGAGTTGCACCGTGGCTCATTATTGAACGATCCTGCTGCTTCGCATTCGCAATCCCTGCAATTTTATCTTATTCATTCATTCCTATCGGTTCCTTTTTTGAACAATCAAAGCACTTTTTCAGTCAGTTTTGAGCAAAGTTTTTGGAAGCCGAGAACGTGCTGCGGCCCCAAAATTAGACAGTGTAAGCACCAAGGGAGGTGTAGCATTATGGATCCGTTCGGGCAGGTGAAACGTTGACTGTACGCCTAGTTCATGAACTGAACTTAACAAGTTTGAATACTTAGTAATCTACTGAATGATTCAAATGAATCTATGTCGCTACATGTACAGTTTTGCTATGTCATGTTTCCTATCGTAAGAAGATACTGATCAATTTAGTGATCAAACACTGATAACGTGCATAATACTATTGTAGACTCTGAATAAAACAGAGCGATTGATTAAATGATTGGAGAGATGAACTGACTTGCATCCAGTTTTTGAGAATTCATAGAATCCGTTCTTGCAATGGTCACAGAACTGTCCATCGACACCAGGTTTGCATGGACATTGACCAGTTTCATCGCATTGTAAAGTCAGCGATCCAATCTCGTTACAATTACAGGCGACACAATAGTGCTCTCCGCGACGTCTCCAGTTGTTCGCCGCACATTCTTCACAGTGTGGACCCTGCAGAACCAATAAAACAATATCAATATACAAATCCAGATATCAACTGCTTTCTAATGACAAATCGGTTGATTTTATTTCGATTTAACGAATTTTGTGACCGTCACAATGAAATTGTTGTGACGTATTATATTGCAAAAATGAACTTGTCGCGGCGCTAAGGCAAGAGTTTACCTGAGTATTTCCGGCACAGTCCACACAATGTCCACCACTTCCAGTCTTCTCGAACAAATCATGGTCATAATAGCAACGATTCGAAAGGTGACTACAATTGCAGGCTGAAAGCACGCATGCATGTATGTATTTATGACATTTGGCTATATTCTGATGTAATTTCACATGAAAATGGTAATCCAGTCATTCTTTGCTCATGATACTCTTACGAACATAATCAGGGCAAGCACAATACAACACATTGATGTGCGTGACTTCTAGATCCAAAGGAATCACTCTGGCATGTTAAGAGAATTATCAACTTAACGTTGTAGTTTGTTATATCGGCTATAATCTCTCGTGCGTTAAAGGATTGTGATGTGATCTGCTCTGATAGCAAGTATGAAAGCACATCGGCTATTTTTTTTTCTGGTATAGATGCAAAGTTTATCTGATGATCTGATGAGATCGTTTTTTTTTTTCAGTTACGTTTACCCTCTGTGCAAACTGTGGAAAAGATTGAATGTGCTGATGGATAAAAGGTTTAAGTTTGTCTGAATGGAAAGCGAATCGGTGGCGTACCAATGCACTCATTCGCTTCATTCGCAGTTCCAGCTCTCCACGGTCTGTCGTTGTAAAACGGTAAACACTGATCGCAATCAGCACCCATCGTGTTATGCTCACAACGACACACCAAACGATCCTCACCGTCACCCGTTGATTTGACACATTCACTTGCGTGACCATTGCATTTACATCTGTATCCATTATCATTATTATTATCATTATCACTACTGCTGTCATTATCAATACCATTATCGGCACCATTAATATCAATGCTTATCATATAACAATGAATAATGTGACAAACGCAACAAATTTCAGGAGACTGCGATGAATTCACAAAGTAAACAAGCAGTCGAGGACGTCTCAATGAGGTCGCAAAAAAA